AGTGACCCGAGTGACCCCTGGGACCCCTGGGACCCCAGTGACACCAGTGACCCCAATGACCCCAGTGACCCGAGTGACCCCAGTGACACCAGTGACCCCAGTGACCCCAATGACCCCAGTGACCCCAGTGACCCCAATGACCCCAGTGACCCCAGTGACACCAGTGACCCCAGTGACCCCAGTGACCCCTGGGACCCCCGTGCCCCCGTTCCCCCGTACCCTGGAAGAGCTGGAAGCGCTGCTCCAGCTGCAGCAGTTTGAAGGCGCTGCGGGCTCTCCAGCCGCCCTCCTTGGCCAGCCTGTAGTAAATGTCGCGCTTGTCCTTGGAGGAGCGGCCCATGGCGACCCTGCAAACACACCGGGTCACCCACAAACCGGGCACCCCAACCCGCCCCCCGGGCTGGAACGTCACCCACCTGCGATGTCGCAGTCTCCACACAGTTCTTTATTTATGTGCCCTATTATTTATTTGTACCTTGTGCCGTTCATTTGTAGGTCCTACCCTAAACAAACCACTGTTTATAGGAGAGATCCCAGGGAGATCCTGCAGCTCCAACACAATCACGGCTTATGGGGCGCCCCCCAGGGCTGTTCAAACCAATACAAACCCCTTAAATCGCATTAATTTCGATCGTCTTAGTTTTATATTAAACCTAAGTCAAAACTCCCCGCGGGCCCTCACCGAGCCACTGCGCATGCGCCACCCCGGCGTTATCGCCCCTGGCGCCAGCGCAGCCCCGCCCACCCGGCTCCCGCTCCCCCTCATAATCCCCCGCCCCGCCCGGCCCCTCCCGCCCGCCGCGGTACCGGAACGCGCCGAGGAGGGACCGGAGAGGAAGCGCAGGAGGAACGGACGCGGCGGGAGCGGTGAGCACAAAGCGGCGGCTGAGGCGGGTGCAGGGCGCGTGCGCGCGGCGAGGAGCGTAAAGGGAGGGCGCACGGGGTGTGGGGGGGGGGGGGGGGGGTCCTTCTTTCGGCAGTGCGCATGCGCGGGGCGGGGCGCGAGTTGTGTGACGGTTTCCCGCCTTTTTCTGTGAGGGGAGCCGGGACGCTGCTCGGCCTCTTTCGCTGCGCGACGCCGGAGCCGTGAGAGGTGGAGGGATTTTCTCCCTTTTCCTGCGAGGGGACGGGCAGTTTCCGGCCCTCGAACATAAAGAGATGGGGGAAGGTCTCCCTTCCTTTTTCTGTGGGCGAGGGTGGGGGGGGTCTCCCACCCTTTTTCCATGAAGGGAGAGGATTTCCCAGCTTTTCTCACCAGGCGGGAACCGTGACGGGAGAGGGTTTAGGGCACGCTGGTAGCTGTAGTCTGCAGGGCTTGGGGATCCATTATTTGGGCTCCCTCAGGATCTATAGACATCCCTCGAAAAAACCACTGGAACCATAAATGCAGTAATAAAAACCCTTTATTTCCCAATATATTGCCCCCAAAAACCTCCCGCTGGCTGGGGAGGGGGAACACCCCAAAAACTAACGGAGGCACCTCAGAAACTGAGGCGGGCACCCCAGAACCCGTGAGAGGCAAAGGCACCTTTAAACCTGAGGAGGGTCTCCCCAGGAGGAAACCGAGGCATAGGTGGTTCAAGGCACTTGTGAAGGTATTTGGTGGAGGGGCAACCCCTGAGGGACCCCCAGATCTACCCCTGTCCCCCCCCGGGGGGACCCAGGCGTCGGGACCCCTCAATAATTTAAGGCTGGGGGTCCCCCCGTGGTGGGGGAGGTTTGTGGAGGTCTCCGTTTGGTTTGCTGGGTTGTTCAGGCACCGTCTGGGGATTCTGGAGGGGGACAAAGTGGGGGGATTAGTTACAACCCCAGGGACCCCCAAACCCCCAAGTTTCCCCCAGTACCCTCACCAGGGCAGCAACCCCTTCCCAGTGCTGCCACTCCCCACCATAAGTGAGGAACCCCCTACCCAGTGCTCCCAGTACACACCAGTGGGGGCGGCAGTGTGGCCCTGCCGTGTGGGGAGGGTGATGTAGGCATCGTATCCCAGGAGGATCCCGGCCAGGATCCCGAACACCTGGGGGTAGAGAGGGTCAGAGAAACCCAAAGTTCCCCTGTATCCCCCCAAGCCTCCCCTGCACCCCCTAGCCCCCTCTCTGCAGCCAAGGGGGGATCAGAGCTCCCCCAGCCCAGCCCCCTGAATTCTCCCCTCACCCCTCCTGCGATGCCGGCGCCGTCCCGGTGGCCAACAATGACGATGAGGGAGGTGATGAGGAAGAGCAGAGCCCCGATGATGCAGCGCATGAAGTCCTGGGGACACAGATGGGACTCCTCAGAGACCCCCAAACCTTCTGGGGACCCCCACACTTCCAGGGATTCCCCCCCGAAACACCCAAAGTGTCTGGGGACCCCCAACCCCCAGGGGTGCTCCCTCACTCAGCCACTTCAAGAGCTCCCAAACCTGTCCCCAGCCCCCAGTGCTCCTCAAAGCCCCTCTAATCCCCCTCAGTGTCCCCCAACCTTGGCCCAGGCCCCCACTCACGGTCCAGCCCCAGTGCAGCAGGGTCAGCCGGGGGGGCAGGCGGCAGCTCCAGGCCAGCAGCACCAGTGCCGCGAACACCAGCTCCACCGCAGCCAGCCCCGCGTAGCCGGAGCGCGACGCCCCGAAGCAGATCAGGGTCAGCAGGCACAGGATCTGTGGCGGCAGGAACATATGGGATCCTTATGGCCTGGGGGGCACCCACAGCTCCTCTGAGCCTTCCCCAGAGACCCCCGCTATGCTCTGACAGGTACCCCGCTATACAGCACTTAGAGAATGTGCACAGTGTGCCCTACAGATCCACAGGGAACCTACAGATTCCTGGGTTCCCTAGAGGAATATAAAGGGACAGCGGGAGACCCTCTGTGATGCATTCAGAGACCCCTATAACACTGCCTATAGACCCCCTGCAGGGCCTATATGTAACTGCTAGGGAAACACCTATAGCAGCTCCTAACTAGATCCTGAGTGATATCCTATAGGGCCCTGCAGGTTCTGGGCTCTCACCTAGAGGCTCCTAGAACACCTCCTTCATACCCCACCGTGGGGTCACCTCCCGGTGTCCCGTAGCGCTCCCCACAGGCCCTCTCGAGTTCCCGCTGGCCCCGCGCCCGCCTCCGTGGGCGGTGGGACAAGGGCGACGCTGTGGGAGCGCCGGGGCGGGGCCGTCTCCTGGCAACGGTCGCCATGGCAACGGGCACAACAGCCACCGCCCCCCCCCCTTCAAGGGGCGATGGCGTGGGTGGGGCCGCCACGCTGGGGGCTCTTAAAGGAGCAGCTGCAGAGCCCGGAGTCCCTTAAAGGGGCCGCTCCCACCGTGACGCGCCCGGGCTGGCGCAATAACGGCTGGCACGGCGGGCCCGGGCACCGCCCAAACCCCCTCTTCCCCCCCCCGGTTAGGGACCCAGACATCCGGGCTCCCTCCCCACCCCTTTCAAACCAGGGCCCCCTGGCCCTGCCCTTTCTCACCTTCCCTGCCCCATCCCCCGTTTCCCAAGGGCGTTGCCCCTCCACGCGCCCGAACCGGGAGCGGGAGGCGCGGGGGGAGCGCGTGCCTGCGGTGTCCCATGGCAGAGGGGACACCGCTGCGGGGGGTGTCACCCCCAGGAGCCCTGGGTCCCTCAGTGCACGTGTCGGCGGGAACCCCGAGCACCCCGAGAGTCGGGCATCCCCCCCGGAGGGGACCCGGTTTCCCGCCGCCCCCCCAAAATGGGGACCCAGGTGCCACGGTGTTCCCGATCCCTTTCAAAACAGGGACTCAGGCATTCTATCAACGCCCAAAATTGGGATCCTGGCATCCCGCTACTCCGCCCTTCCACAAAAATAGGGGACCCACGTGTCATGGTGCCCCCTCAGACCCCCCAAAATGGGGATCCGTGTATCCTGCTGCCCCCCCTCCCAGTATTCCAGACATCCTGCCCCGCTCTCAAACCAGGGGTTTAGGCATCCTCCTGCCCCCCTGAATGAGCCCCTAGGCGTGCGCCCTCCCAAAAGAAACCGGGTCCCGAGTCACCCTGCCCTCTCCAAACAGGGACCGGGACATCCCAATCCTCCCCGCGGCCCAGGCAGGCGCCGGGTATGTCCCGGGGTGTCTCCCCTCCCGGGGGTCCCCGGCGCCCCCGCCCGCGGTGCCCCCCGTGTCTCACGATCTCGCCGATGAGCACCAGCCCCTTGTGGGTCCGGCTGAAGGCGAGGCAGGTGCCGGGGCAGCTCTGGGCCCCGCTGGACTCCATGGCGGGACCGGGCGGCACCGAGCGGGCGGTGGCAGCGGGGGGGCCTCGGGGGAGCTGGCACGGCGCGGGGGCGGGGCCTGGCGGCGCGCGCCAGCGCGCGATTGGCTGGCGGGGGCACCGCGGGGCGGGGCCGGGCGGCGGGGGAAACCCCCATTAGCGATTGGCAAAGGGGGAGCCCCGGGGGCCGTCACGTGGCCGGGCGGCGGGGGAAACCCCCCCGAGGGGGTCTCCGGGGGCGGGGCTGGGAGCGGGGAACCCCCGTGATGGTTGAGTAGGGGGTCCTGGGAGGAGGAGCTGAGGGTGGGCGGGCCTTGGAGGGGGGAATCCCCTGGGATTGGCGGTGGGCGGGGCTTGGCGCGGGGAAGCCCCGGAGGTGGTGGGACGGGGGCCCCGAGGGGGGGGGGCTTAGAGGGGGCAGGGCCTGGGGGGGGGTCATAGAATTTGAGGGGCTTTGGGGGTCTCTAACGGGGTTTGGGGAGCACTAGAAGAGTCTGTGAGGGTCCCTGGGGATCTTGGGAGGATCTGGAGAGATCCAGAGGGACCTGGGGTGGGTTATGGGTCTCTTGGGGTCCCCAGGACGGTTTGAGGGTCTCCAAGGATGTTTTTTCCCCCGGGCCGTTTGGCCTCTCTCGGTTTTGGGGTGACTCAGCCGGATGTGGGCAGCGCCCTGCCCGCCGGATGCTGGTGATGGAAGGGGGGGTGGGGGGGCGTCTTCACGGGAAATGACTCAGGGAGGTACCGGGGGGGTCCCCACATTTATTTAACACCCTGAAAAATGGGGAGGGGACAAAACCTCCGTGCGGCCCCCAGAACGTGGGGAGGGGGCATTGCATAGCTTGAAGGGCGTCCCCCCCAAAATAGGGGCACCAAAATGACCCCCCGAGCTGGGGGTGGTCCCCTAAAACACCAAAAAATGGGGTGCGGTGTGGGGGGGGGGCATCTCACTGACGTCGCCTTCCATTTGCAGGGGGTCCAGGGGACAATCGGGGGGAGTCAGGGGTGCAGCCCCCCCACGAGGCAGAAGCAGGGCTCCCCCCGCGGGGAGCTGCCCACGCACAGCCGCAGCACCCCCCGCGCCAGCGGGTTTGGGGGAGCCCCTGGGGGGGAAAGGGAGGGGGCGTCACTTCCCTGGGGGTGGGGCAGGACCCGACCCCGCCCAGCCAGGCAGGGGAAGCTTGGGGCGCTCTGGGCTGTACCACTTTTCCAGTTGGTGGGGGGGCACTGGGGTATCTTACTGAATTTGGAGGGGCAATGGGCTGTTCCACCTGATTGGGGGGGAGCACTGGGATATACCGGTGTGTTTTGGGGGGCTCCAGGCTGTACCACTGCGCTGGCGGGGGGGTGATTTGTACAGCTGTGTTTTGTGGGGGTCCCTGGGTGTCCCAGTGACTCAGGGGGGCTCTGGGATGTCTCCCTTAGGGGCAATCCCACCCTGTCCCCACTGAGCGGGGGGGCCCCATGGGGACTTTGGGGGGGCAGAGCAGGGTCTCACCGTGGGGGCGACGCAGCAGCAGGCGCAGGCGGCTGCCCCCGCCCCGGATCCGGGCCAGCGCCTGTGCGTGGCTCATCCCGGCTGTGGGGGCCCCATTGATGGCCAAGAGCTCGTCACTGACCTGCCCCCCCCCAAGGGACCCCCAAAAGTTACAGACCCACCCAGACCCCCACATCCCCCCCAGACTCCTTAGAAGCCCCTCCAGAGACCCCTGTTGCTCCCCCCAGGACCCCATATTACCCCCAAACCACATCCCCCAACCCCCAGCCACACCCAGGAGCCCATAAACCCCCCTGAACCCCCCAGTTCCTGACAGAATCCTGACAAGCCCTCACTGGCCCCCCCAGCCCCTATTGCTCCCCTCTCCCCATGTCCCTCCCAGCTCCTTTCACCCCCAATACTCCCCCCGGGACCCCCAGAGCCCCACAGATCCCCCGTACCTGGATGCAGCCGCAGCGCTGGGCCGGGCCCCCCTCACGCAGCCCCCGCACGAAAACCCCGGCGGGGCCCCCCCGGAGGCTGAACCCGAAACCCCCCGGGCCCCGCGGCAGCTCCACTGCGAATGGGACGGGGTCCTGGGCCCAGTAACACCAGTTACACACCAGTTACACACCAGTAGCACACTGGTATCACAGCGACAACGAACCAGGCACACACAGGTTCCACACCAGTAACTTACACACCATTAATAGAACATTAATGCACCAGTATCACACCAGTATCACACCACTATCACACCAGTATCACACCAGTATCACACCACTATCACACCACTATCACACCAGGCAGCTCCAGCGCAGACAGAGAGGAGGGGGACGGGTGTTCCCGTGGCCCCAGTAAACACCAGTTGCATACCAGTAAATCCCCCAGTGCCCCTACGCAGCTGCATCCCAGCCCTCCCCATTCCCTCCCACTGCTCCCAGTATCCTTCCCAGTTCCCTCCCAGTGTTCCCAGTCCATACCTGTGGCCAGGCCAGGCTGTAGCCCGGTCCCCTCCCAGCACTGCTGGGACTCCCCAGCTCCTCACCTGGCGGGAGAAAGGGGAGGGCTCGGTGCTCCCATTGCCTCCCAGTATCGCCCAGTAACACCCAGTATAGCTGAGTAGCCACGCAGGGCTCTCTGGCCCCCTTCCCCTGCTCCCGGGGCCAGCAGCCCGAATCCCCCTGCCCGCCCAGTGCCCCCAGTTTTCCCAGTACCAGTGGGCAGCAGGTCCCGGGGTTCAGGGCCCACAAAGCTGGTGGCGGCCACGGGCTCAGGGGGGGCTCCAGGGCCTGTGAGGAGGGGACAGGGCATCAGTGCCTCCCAGTGCCTCCCAGTGCCTCTCCCAGTGCTCCCCAGTCCCATGCCAGTCCTTCCTTCCCCGTGCAGCCCAGTTCCCTCTGTGCCTCCCAGTCCTTCCCAGTATGCCTTCATCCTCTTTCCCAGTCTCCCCAGCCTCTCGACTCGCCCTCCCAGTGCCCACAATCCCCGTTCCAGACCTTCTCCGTGCCCCCCAAACCCTCTCCCGTTCCTTTCCAGTGCCCCCAGTCCCTTTCCGAGTCCCTCCCAGCACCCCCAGTCCTCCCCCAGTCCCTCTCCCAGTGCTCCCAGTCCAGACGCACCCAGGCTCCGCAGCAGCAGCAGCAGGTCCCCGTCCTGGGGCCGGATCTGGGGGGGTCCCCGCTGCCCCCAGGGTGGGGGGGGGCTCGGGGCGGGGGGCGGCGGGGGGGGGCGGCTGTAGCGCAGCACGCAGGAGCCCCCCACCACCACCACCACACTCACTGGGGGGGGACCCCGAGTCAGGGACCCCCCCAGAACTCAGGAAACGCCCAGGTGAGATGGGACCCCCCCAAAGGACACGGACCCTTCAAAGGGCAGGGACCCCCCTAGGGGACACGGGGACCTCCCAAAAGGTGGGACCACCCCGAAGGGCTTGGGACACCCCTGGGGGAGGGGAGACACCCCAGGCAGGGACCCCCCTCCCCCCCAGGGGTGACTGACCCCTCCTGGACTTGGGGACACCCCAAGTTCCGCCCCTCCCCCTGCTCACCGCTGGGCCCTGGCGGTGCCTCCGGGGGCGGCATCGGGGCTTGGGCCCCCCCCGGGCTGCGGGGGGGCTGCACCTGAGGGCACCAGTGCTCCCAGTAACCTCCCAGTGCTGTTTGTACCTCACTCAGTTCCCTCCCAGTTTGCCCCACATCATCCCAGTGCCCCCCAGTGCACCGCATATCCCCTCCCAATGTCCCCCCAAGCTCTCCCAGTGTCCTCCAGCCCCCTCCCAGTGCTCCCAGTCCAGTCCACACCATCCCAGTTCCCCACAGAACTCCCAGTACCCACCCCCAGTGCTTCCAGTGCCCCTCTCAGTGTCCCAGTTATCTAACCAGTCTCCCCTAGCACTCCCAGTATGACCCCCAGTGTTCCCAGTATCCTCCCAGTATCTCCCCTGAGCTGCCAGCATCCCCATGACGCTCACAGCGCCCTCTCAGCACTCCCAGTATGCCCCCAGTATCCCCGTGTCCTCCCAGTGCTCCCCTCCGTGGCTACTCCCGGGTTACCCCCAGTGCTCCCAGTTCACCCCAGTCCTTCCAGTAACCCCCCAGTGCTCCCAGTTCACCCCAGTCCTTCCAGTAACCCCCCAGTGCTCCCAGTTCACCCCAGTTCGCCCCCAGCCCCTCCCCCTCCCCTCGGGTACCGCCGCGGGGTCGCCACGGCAACGCGCGCGAGGCCGGCGGGCGCGAGCGGCGGTGGGACGGGCTGACCGACGGGCGGATCCGCCAATCAGCGTCCGCCGCGCGGGAAGAGGGGGCGGGGCAGACCCCCGTGACAGCACCGATAGGTGGAGGCTCCACCAATCAGCGGCCGCAAAGTCCGCGGGGCGGTGGCGGAGCAAACGCTGCTGGGAGTTGTAGTCCAGCTCAAGCAGCTCTCTCTCTCTCTCTCTCTCTCTCTCCCAGAGGGCCCCGCGGCGGAAGATGGCGGCGGGCGATGGCGCGGCGGCGGCCGAGGGCACCGCGGGGCCGGGGCCGGTGTCGTTCGCTTTCAGCCGCAGGGCGGAGCGACGGCGGCCGCTGCCCGCGGGACCCTGCGCGGAGCCCGGCGCCGGCGGCGACACCGACAGCGACACTGATTTCCTGACGGCGGTGGAGGACCGGGAGCTGCTCAGGTGGGCGGGGAAGGGGGCGGAAAGGTGGAGCCCCGCCTCTCAGGGCTCGTTTGGGGCGGGGCTCGCTGCGTGCGGCTGCCTTGGGGGCGTGGCTTCCGCCCGGGAACGCCCCTTTGTTTAAAGGCGGCGCGGTGTTTGTGGCTGAGCCTCTGGTCCCGCCCCCAGCACGCGGCCGGCCCCGCCCCCCAAGAAAGAGCTGGTGATCCCCCTGATCCCCCCCCACCGCTGGAGGAACCCGGAGCCCCCCCGTGCCGACACAGGCCCCGCCCCCGCCGCTGACTCCGCCCCCAACACAGCCCCCGCCGGAGACCCCCCGGGCCCCCCCTCGGTGGAGGCTCAGGCGGTGCAGGAGCTGCTGCAGGGTTAGTTTGGGGTCCCTGGGGGGCCTGGGGGGCCCGGCTGCACCCCCTGAGCCCCCCCGACTCCCCTGACCCCACAGAGGCACGGCAGAGTCAGGAGCAGCCCAATGGGGACTCGGGACCCCCCATCTCCATCCCCCTCCAGCTGCCTGACAAGGACATTGCCACGGGACCACAGCCGGTGAGAGACCCGTAGAGGTGACCCCCAAACATCCCCTCAGGACCCCCAGGGGGACCCCTGAGCCCCTCAGAGTGACCTCCCCATCCAGAACTGACCCCAGACTCCCCTGGGGATCCCCACATCCTTCCCAGGGTCCTTCCAACCCATCCTTACCCCCTCAGTTCCCTCCCCAGCCCCAGAGCTCCCCCCAGGTTCCCCCCCCAGCTCCACGACCCCCCATGCTGTCCCCAGACTGCCCAGGACTACGAGGCCGTGCCCGTGGGGCAGTTCGGACTGGCCATGCTGCGGGGGATGGGCTGGAGCCAGGGCCAGGGCATCGGGCGCACCTTCCCCAGGTGAGTGAGGGCGCCCCAGAACTGAGGGGGACACCCCTGACCCCCCTAAAGCCGGGAGTGACTGGGGGGGAACACCTGAGCACCCAAAGATGGGAGCAAGTGCTGGAGACAGGCCTGAGGCAATGAGTGCACCTGCCCCAGCTTGGGGGGGGGGACCCCAAACTGCTGGGGGTCACCCTGAAACCCCCCCAAAACTTGGAGGGACCCCTGAACATCCCAGCCTCGGGGGAGACAGGCTTCAAGGGGAAGCTCTGGCCTTCCATGGTCACCTATCCTCCTCCCAGGGTGAATTTTGGGGTGCCCTGACCCTTCCCCCCCAATAATTCTGGGGTTCTCTGGCCCCCTTTTCCTCCCCCCAGGGTCGTGACCCCACTGGAGCACCGGCCACGCCCACGGGGGCTGGGGCTGGGGGCTGAGGCCGCCCCCCCGGGCGCCCCCAAACCCGGGGAGCCCTCCCAGGGGGGCCCGGCCGTGGGGGACCCCGTGCGTGTTGAGGCCGGGCCCCACCGCGGCGTGGAGGGCAAGGTGAGACCAGTGCAGACCAGTACAGACCAGTACAAACCAGTACGGCTCTGCGGGGCAGCACTGGGGGTGTTGGGCTGGCTGGGACTGAGGGGGGGCACTGAGGGTGCTGACACCCCCCACTTCTCCCAGTATGGCACTAGGAAGCACTGGGGAGAACTGGGGCGATGCTGGGTGGGCACTGGGGGTAACTGGGAGGTAACTGGGCTGACTGGGCCCCCAGGTGGAGGCGCTGGACCCTGAGACCGGGCGAGCCCTGGTGCGGCTCCAGCTTGGGGGGCAGGTGGTGGCTGTGAACCAGCACGGGCTGAGCCCTGTCAGCACTGGTGAGTGTCCCAGTACAGACCAGTAACCCCCGTGCCCCTCCCCGCTGTCCCCTGCAGCCTTCCCAGTAACCCTGAGGTCAGCTGGCGTGGGCTGTGCCCAGTGAGTGCCCCAGTTCGGACCCGCACATCCCAGTAATCCTCCCCCTTACCGCTGTAATTCCCAGTACTCTCCAGACTGGTTTGTGCCCAGTCTGAACTGGGGAGCCTCCCAGTGACCCCCAGTGCCTCCCAGTAACACCTCAGAATACCCCAGTAAGCCTCAGTGCCTCCCACTACGTCCCATTTTCCCTCCAGTAACCTCCCAATCCCCCCCCAGTCCCTCCCAGTTCCCCACAGAATCCTCTCCCAGTGCCTCCCAGTAGCTCCCGGTTGCCCACAGGTGCCTGTGGCCGTCCCCCCCAGAAGGGGTCGGAGGAACAGGGCGGGGAGCCCCCGCGGGGAGGGCCCAAGCGGAAGGAGCCCCCCGAGAACGAGAGGTGAGGAGGGCTGGGGGGGCTTTGGGGAGAGGGCACCCCGGGGTCTCATTTTGGGGGTCCTGAAGCCTTGTGGGGGGCCCATTGGGGGGGTGTGACTGAGTCGGGAGGGGGGGGTCCCCAGCACTTTGGGAGGGGCCTCTGATGCCTCTGGAGCTCTGGGGGTTCCGAGCCCCCCCGACTGACCCCGTCCCCCCCCAGGGCTGGGAAGCAGCCGCGAGGGGCCCCCCCCGCGCCCCCCCACTGGCTGCGCCGGGACCTGCGGGTGCGCTGCGTGGACCGGGCCTTCCGCGGGGGCCGCTTCTACAACTGCAAGGTGGGACAGCCCCAAATCACACCCGAAATCCTCTGGGCACCCTGCAATCACGCCACAAAACCTCCCTCTGTACCCACTCAGCCACCCCTGGGACCCCCAAAATCCCCCCAGGGGCAGCCCAAAAAATGGGAAATACCCTAAAATGGCACGTCCCCCAAAGCCACCCCCAGGGGACCTCGAAACCACCCCAGGGACTCCCAAAAACATCCCCACAGGCCCTAAAATCTCCCTGCTGCAGCCCCAAAAACTCCCAGGGAACCCCAGGAACTCCCTTATGGGACAGCACATTGCTCCTGTGGGAGCCCAAAATCTCCTGGGGGCCTCTGAACCCACCCTGGGACCCCCAAAACCACCCACGAAACACTCTTGGGACACCGCCTCCCACTGTCAGGGACCCCAATGGCCATGTAGGGTGACCCAGGACACCACAAGGGTTTGGGAGGGGGGCCCCTGCCCTCCCCCCAGCTCCCCCTGGGCATCTCTGGGTGGGATTTTGGGGGTGCTGAGTCCCCAGCCCCCCCAGATGCAGATCGAGGACCTGCTGGCTCCCGACACCTGCGTGTGCCGCACGGACGACGGGCGCCTGGTAGAGGGTGAGACCCCCCCCCGAGGGGAATTTGCGCATGTCCCAACCCCCCAGACCCCCCAAACCCCTCTGGTACCTCCAAACCCTTCTGAACCCCCCAAATCACCCTGATCTTCCTGACCCCCCCTACCCCCTGACCCCCAAAACGCTCCCTCCCATGGCCCCCATAACCCCTGTGCCCTCCAAACCCGTCTCCTCCGACCCCCCCGTCAGCCCCCCGATCACCAGGACCCGCCATGGCACCTGTGACCCCCCGACCCCCCCAGTGCCCCCCCAGCACCCCCCACTGCCCCGATCCCCTGACCTCAGTGACCCCCAAAGCCTCCCCTGATCCGCCTGTGCCCCCCAGGCCTGCGCGAGGCCTCTCTGGAGACCGTGGTGCCCCGGGGCAGCTCTGACCGCGTCATGGTGGTGCTGGGGGAGCACAAAGGGAAGGTGAGCGCGACCCCCGCCCCAGCCCCTCACCCCTGAGCGCCCCGAGCCCCCCTGAGCGCCCCGCTTTCTGCAGGTGGGGCGGATCCTGGAGCGGGAGCCGGAGCGCGGGCGGGCGCTGGTGCGGCTGGGGCGGGGTGCGGCCCCGCAGGTGCTGCCGCTGCCCTACGACTCCATCTGCCATTACCTGGGGGGCAGCGACGACGACTGAGACCCCCCCAAAACCTCCCACCAGCTTCCAGCATGGCGGCCGCGGCTTCAGGGGAATAAAACCTGTCCGAAGGAGGAGCGGCTGCCTCGGTTGTTTGACACCCCCGTGGTTGTTGTTGAAAGGGGGACCCTCCCCTCACAGTGACCCTGGAGCCCCCCAGAATCCCCCCAAGGCCCCGCGGTGCCGGTTCCCACCGCGCTTACGTTCTGCCCGCTTCCAAAATGGCGCTGCTGGTTGCTATGGGAGCGGCGCGCGCCGCTGCCCGTTTCCAACGTGGCGCGTTGCCAGGCAACGGCCCCGCGCTCCCGCCGCCAATCAGCGCGCGCGGCTGCCCAGGGCCGGCCTTAAAAGGGTGACGGCTCGGCTCACGTGACCGGAAGTCCGCTCTGTCCCGGCGGTCTGAGGCGTCTCGATGGTTTGAGCGCCCTGCGGTTGTGGCCGCGGTGTTTTGGGGTCTCTGGGGGGTCCCGAGGGGTGTTGGGGACCCCTCGTTAACCCCTTTCTACCCCCGAAGCGGCTCCGCTACCGCCGGCGCGCCCCGCCATGGCGCAGGCCCGGGGGGTGAACAGCCTGCGCTTCAACCAGGACCAGAGTGAGTGGGGGGGCCCAAATTTCCCCTCGAACCCCGAAACCTCCCCCAGCACCCCTCCAAGTTCCCCCTCGGGACTTCAAACACCCCATCCGGCATCCTCGAACCCCACCCGGAACCCCCAAAACACCCCCGGGACCCTCAACCCCCGAGTTGGCCCCGGGACCCCAACCCCGGCCCACTCCGAGACCCCCAAACGCCCCCGGGACCCCCAAACCCCTCAGGTGCCCCCCGGGACACCCCCAAAGCCCCTCACACCCTCCTAACCCTAACCCCAACCCCTCTGGGAACCCCCAACGTCCCCCGGGTACCCCTAAATCCACCCGAGGCCTTCCCAAATCCCCCAGGGCCCCGCAGAGTCCCCTCAGACTCACCAGGGACCCCCAAACCCCCCCGGGGGTTCCCCCAAACACCCCCCGTGCCCCCCAGGCTGTTTCTGTGTCGCGATGGACTCGGGGGTCCGGATCTTCAACGTGGAGCCGCTGATGGAAAAGGGGCACCTGGGTGAGGGCCCGGGGGTCTGGGGGTCCCCCTGCCCGGGGGGGCCCTGGAGGGGGCTCGGGGTCTTTAGGGGCAGAGTTGGAGCTGGGGGAGGAGGTTTGGGCTGCTCTGGGGTCAGGCCTGGGAGGGGGCTGCGGCATTTTGGGGGTACCTAAGCCTGGGGGGGGTATTTGGGGGTCTCTGGGTCTGGGGGTGGTGGCAGTTTTTTTGGGGGGGGCGTGTTTTGTTGGTCCCTACTTTGAGGAGAAACATTTTTGGCCGTGTTTGGGGATATCCTTAAGGCAAAGATGCAGTTTTGGGACATCTTGGGCTATTTTGGGGTCTCCCAGGCCTAGCGGGGAGATGGCTGAATTTTGGGGGAGTCCTTCAGCTTTTCTGGGGAGTCTCTCCTATTCGGGGGTGTTGCTCTGCTTTGGGGGGATCTCTCAGCTGTGGGGGATCCCTGAATTGGGGCTGTCCCCCAGATGCGGAGCAGGTGGGCAGCGTGGGGCTCGTGGAGATGCTGCACCGCTCCAACCTCTTGGCCATCGTGGGCGGGGGCAGCCACCCCAAGTTCCCCGACGCCTCAGGTGCGCCCCAAAACCTGGGGGGGTTCCCAAATTCCCTGACAGATCTCCCAAAACCTGGAGGTCACCCAGAATCGGGGTTGTCTCCAACACCCTTCTGGAGGGGTCCCCGTTATTGGGGTAGCCCCCTGGAGCCCCCCTGATGCCCTGGCCTCCCCAGTGCTGATCTGGGACGACGCCCGCGAGGGGAAAGACAAACTGGTGCTGGAGTTCAGCTTCCCCAAGCCGGTGCTGGCCGTGCGCATGCGGCACGACAGGTACTGGGAGCACTGGGAGGGACTGGGGGCACTGGGAGGGACTGGGGGCACTGGGAGGGACTGGGGGCACTGGGAGGGGGCCAAAGTGGTGGTGGTCATCCTCATGCAGTGCACCAGGCGGGACTGGGGAGGGTAACTGGGTGAACTGGGAGGACTGGGGGGCTGCTGGGGGTCCCCTGAAGCCCCCCCGTGTCCCCAGGCTGGTGGTGGCCCTGCAGAGCCGCCTGTACGTGTTCTCCTTCCCCCACCGCCCCACCAAGCTCTTCGAGTTCGACACCCGTGACAACCCCAAAGGTGGGGCACCCCAACAACCGCGGGGACACCCCAAAAACTGGGGGGAAGCCTGAACTGGGGGCGCCTGGGAACTGGGGGATCCCAAACGGGGGGAGCCTGAAATGTGGGGTGGACCCCAAGAATCTGGGAGGGACCCTAAAACCTGCGGGGACTCATTTGGGGGGTGGGAAGGACAGAGCCCCCTCCCTGTTCTTCCTACCTGGGGGGTGGTTTGAGGGACCCCAAAGCCCCACCAGGGGACACCCCAAAATTCTGGGATGGCCTCAAAACCCTGGAACCCCAGGGGGTTTGGGGAGGGGGGATTTGGGGGGGGGGCAGGTGTTTAGGACAAACTCCCCCCTATTCTCTTTATTGCAGGGGGGGCTTGGGAGGGATCCCAAAGTCCCAAGGGGGGGCACAGGAATCCAGGGGGAACCCCAAACTTTCCCCCAGGGGCTACTCAAAACACAGGGAGGGATCCCAATAAATGAGGGAGAGCCTGGAACTCCAGGGGAACCCCAAAACCTTGGGGGAACCCTGAAACTCTGGGGGACCCCAATGTCCAGGGGGGACTGCGATGTTCTGGGGGGGGTTTTGGGAGTCCCTGGGGTCCTGGGAGGGAGCAGGGACACTCCAATGTCTGGCTCGTCCCCCAGGGATTGTGGATCTCTGTCCCAGTTTGGAACGGGCCTTACTGGTGTTCCCAGGGCACAAGTGCGGGAGCCTCCAGCTGGTGGTGAGGGACTTACTGGGGATACTGGGAGGGACCGGAGGGGGCTGGGAAAGGCAGAGAGGGGGACTGGGGGTCACTGGGACGGGGCTGGAGGGGTCTGGAGAGCACAGGGAGCGTACTGGGAGCACCGGGGTGGTACTGGGGAGCACTGGGGGATATTGGGGAGCGCTGGGGGATACTGGGGAGCACCGGGGGTCCCTCACCCCGATCCCCCCCAGGACCTGGGCTCGGCCAAGCCGGGCACGTCCTCGGCACCGGTGACGATCAACGCGCATCAGAGCGAGGTCGGCTGTGCCGCCCTGAGCCCCACGGGGACCTTGGTGGCCTCGGCGTCGCGGAGGGGGACCCTGATCCGCCTCTTCTGCACCCAGAGCCGCACCCGCCTGCTGGAGCTGCGCCGCGGCACCGACCCCGCCACGCTCTACTGGTGCCACTGGGAGCACTGGGAGGGACTGGGGGCACGGGGCGGGGAATGGGAACTTCCAGGCGTCCCGTGCTCGAGCTGAGCCAGTGTCCAGACCCTGTCCCACTGTCCTGGGGGCACTGGGAGGAAATGGAGGTGGATCTGAGGATTTGGGGGACCTCGCCCCACCTGATTTTGGGGTGCTGCCCCCTCCCTGCCCTGTTTTAGGGGTCCCTCTCTGCCTGGTTGAGCTGCTCCAGCTCACCCCCCCCGCTGTTCTGGTGGTGCTGGGGGGCTGTGGGTGGATCTCAGCATTCGGGGACCCTGACCAGGTTTTGGTCCCCCATCCCTGACGAGGTTTTGGGGTGTTTGTCCCGTCCCAGCCTGGCATTCAGCCCCGACTGCTCCTTCCTGTGTGCGGCGAGTGACAAAGGCACCGGCCACGTCTTCGCCCTGCGGGACACTCGGCTCAACCGGCGCTCGGCGTGAGTGGGGGGGTCAGACCGGGGGGGCAACACCCCAAACCCCCCGCAACCCCTCTGAACCCCCCTTGCCCCCAGGCTGGCACGGGTGGGGAAGGTGGGCCCCGTGCTGGGCCCCTACGTGGAGTCCCAGTGGTCCCTGGCCAGCTTCACTGTCCCGGCCGAGGCCCCCGGGGTCTGCGCCTTCGGCAGGGGCGGCCGCAGCCCCAGCTCTGTCATTGGTGAGTGCCCCAGAAACACCCCTGAAATACCCTGAGGGACCCCAAAATACCCTTGAGGGATCCCAGTACCCTCTGGGGTTTGTGTCTTTGGGAAAGAAGGGTGGGCAGCCCAAACCCTCACCAGTGAATCCTCCCAGAAACATCACCAAAATATACCCCTGGGACCCAAATACTCCCTGGGAACCCCCAGTGTCTTACCAAGGACCCCAAAATACACCCGAGGAACCCCGAACCCACCACAGATACACTCAAAATGCCCCCAGCACCCAGTCCCCACCAAGGCACCCTCAAACTCCCCACCCTGGGATACCAGATTTCCTCCAAAAAGCCTCCTGGGATCCCCACAACCACCCCCCTGACTCTCCCAGGAACCCCCCAAGCCTCCACTAAAACCCTCTGGGACCCCCCCAGGGACCCTCTCTGCCCCCCTGAACCCCCCCGTGGAGCCCCCATGACCCCCCAAACCCTGTCCCCAGCCGTGTGCGTGGACGGGACCTTCCACAAGTACGTGTTCAGCCCCGATGGGAACTGCAACCGCGAGGCCTTCGATGTCTTCCTGGACATCTGCGATGATGACGACTTCTGACCCCTCACCCTGCGACCCCCCAAACCCCGGGGGAGCCCCCAAAACCTCCCAGAAAACCCCAAGTCTCGCCCAGTCTCTTTATTGGTGTTTCGGCATAACAAAGGGGATTTATAAAACTCTCAAAAAAAGGGGAGTGGGATACAAAACTGGGGTCCCCCCGCGTGCCCCGGCTGCGCCTGGGGCCCCCCCACGGTGATTGGGGGGGGTGGTGTCCCCCCCTCTGCCCCTCCCCCCGTCCCTGGGTCTGGCCCAGCCTTTGGCCCAGGGGGGGTTTGGGGGTCCCAGGGTGCTGGTGATGGG